CACAGTATTAAAGAATCTTCCCAAAAAGCAATCTGAGCTTGTCTTCAGAAATGCCTCAGAACAACGCCTGACAAAATCTTTAGGCAAATCCCTCACAGTACAAACGGTTGGTGCACTGTTAGCTTTGAATTCAAATGCTGTTCGTAGCCCATCACAAGCTTATGTGTGTCTCAGATGTGTGTTTCTTTTATTTTGAGACCAAGGGTGTAAAGGCGGGGATGATGATTTCGGATTCCTGGGAGAAAAATCCCAGGCCTGGAAGAGCCCGTGGAAAGTAATCAAGTAGCAGAGTGATGTCATTCTGATGAAAGGCAGTCTGTCAGACAGTTGGCGACTATGGGTGCTCTTTGGCATGGGCCACTGCCCCGCTATACACCAAAATATGACATCAAAGCAGGTACCAGGCCAGGCTAAGAGGCTGGCACTGATCATTGTCTTCTTTGATTACAGTAGCCTCATCTTCTTGCTGACAGGATAAAAGAAAACGGCTGCTTGGTGTTAAGAGAGTGTCAAAAATAATGAGGCACGTACCGTGTACTAATGGTGTCCCAGTGGCTCAGTGGATGGAAGTGCATACCGCGTATTCACAACATTATGGGCCGATTTCCCAGACAGTGATTAACTTTAGTCCAAGACTATGGTATGCTTTTCAGTGGATATTTTTTGTATAGTTTTGCCTTTAGTTTGGACTAGCATGAAAAACTAGCACCAAGAGTTTTGACCCAACATCAGATTCATGCTGCATGTCAATAACTCTCTCACATCTCTCATATTAGTATACTTTATATAACCAAAATAAAGCAAAAATATTTTTAAATGCTAATTCTCAACTGTTCCTACATATAATCTTTAAGGTCTATAGTCTCAAAACTGTTTCAAATACTGCTCCCGCATAATTGAATAATGACCATGTTTTACAGCAGGGTGTGGGCTTCAAAAGAATTCCATATAGAGACTACCAGGTTAAAGGACAGAAAATGAATAATGTGTTGTGGCTCTACTGTCATGACCTGTAATAAGGGCTCTTCCATGTCCTTTGGCAAATCTGCGGTATAAATAAACATTTCCGAGACAAAAGAGCCTAATTCTCCTTCTGTCTCGGTGGAGATGAGAATAAGCGCAGGGGAAGGAGGGCTGCCGCCTCTCTGATGATAATAATAGCAGGTTTCAAATGGTAATTGGTCTCTGCTCCCTCCTCTGTCTACCTGGCAGAGGGCATTGCAAGGGGTGATTCAGGCACTTGGCATGAATGGAAAACTCCTGGAGGAAGGCAGTGCACTCACGCACCGGCACCTCCAAGAGAGCCCGGGTCCACCTCACTCATCCTCCTGCGCCCCGACGCATTCCTACACACATGCAGGCAAACACGCGAAACATGCATGTACCCTGACCCTGACAGACACAAACATCCATCTTGCTTAGTATGAATGACGTGACAGAACTGTTTACAGGCAACAGCAGCTATTTTGTGACCATCAGTCAGATGAAAGATCAACAACAAACAGCTGACCTGTCAACTGAAATATTTGATTATCCCGTGGTGCCAGAGAGACCCCAAGTGTAAGCTGTCCTATCTTGAAAGAGTTCATTTTTATCAAACAGGGCATCATCTGTAACCAATAGACGGCCTCCTCTTACGAAATGAGAGCCTGCTCGACAGATGTCTCCTGCCTCTCTTACTCTCCGTTGCTCCCCATTTACATCCACATCTTAGATGGCACTTCTTGACTTAAGTCAAGATGAAGGTTGTTTACCGATTCCTCGGGGTAATATCAGGAACATATGGTGGGGGGCACATGAAAGGGACTCCACAGTGTGTTAACACCCAAAACCTTTGTACATGTTTGTTTTGGGCTTTTAAACAATAGTTTCAACATGAAATTAAGGGGACCTGCTTCCGGAGGTTTGTCTCAAAGTGACAGAGAACAGAAGCTCGAAGCTCAAAGTGTTTTCACAGGCGTGGACAGCCTGAACGTCAAAGCTCCCTAACATTACAGTCAGATGATGAATTTGGTAATGAAACTGTCGTTAAAATAACGCAGGCAAAAATCTCTATATTGTAATGAATAATATCTACAATATTTATTTTTTTAAGTGCAGTATAGAAACTCTGCTAGCTGTGACAAGCAATAAAGAAAGTGTCAAAGTCTGGCTCTGTGTTTTTTTTTTTGCTGTTTTTTTTTTTAAACCAGCAGAGCCACAGGAGAAAGTAAGATTACTACAATATACACAAAATCTCTGAAGTGTTCAACAACATTTCAACTAATTCTTTACACCTGCGTCATATTCCATACATTTCCACTTCCCGTTCCATCCTGGCTTTTACCAGACTTCCACACTTAAACACTTTGTGGCATAATACCGCTAAGTCTCAGCTCAGGCTTTGCTGTTGTGACCTTTGTGGGATTTAGAGCTGCAGTTGAGCCCCACAATCCCTAACCTGATATCATATGTTTTATGCTGGTGCTGTGTAGTTTGTGCACTATGTGTAGGAGAGGGTGGCAATTTAAAGGAATTTAAAGAAACTCTTCTATGGAATATAAAAGTTTTATAGATGGTGATCTCTCTCTTTGTTCTTCCAATGAGGACCTCCACCTGTTTCTGATGATGTGAGCCAGAGCCTGTCCCTTTCAAGAGGCTGATCCCTCCTGATCTCTTTGATGTAACCTGACCTAACAGTTCCAACTAGCGGGATTTGATGATCACGGATGGACCCATGACAACGGCATGTGCAAATCAAAACTAACAGGCGTGCGGGAGACGGACGATCGGGATGTGTGAGCAGAGCTGGCAGGCTGCGCGGACACAGAGCGCTCACAGAGCTATGATGTGTCTAAACGCCAGGCAGGCAACAGTCACATGATCAATGCTGCCAGCCCAGACTTAAGCAGTAAAACCTGTGGATCTGTGAGGGCACATGCAACTGATCGGAGATGAAAGACAGGCTTTGACTTTCACAGGAGGCCTGGAATCGGGGTGGGGGCTACGGGAGCTACGGGGGCACTGCTGAGGGACTGCCATCAGAACAGCTGGGTCATTTTCAAATGACCTAAATCCAGGATTAATCCATTTGGACCTTCATGGTTAAATTTGTGTCTACGCTGCACACAGGCTATGGGAGGCAAAGAAAGAGGGAGAGAGAGAATTACAAGTGAAATCCAGAAAGGCTTAGCACTTGGAGTTCAAACGAGGTGCACCGTAGAGAACAAACCACTGTGCACCAACAGTAGCAAAGCTAACCAGTGTTTCTAACTTATACTGTTAGGTAACTTTAACACAGAATCTTTCCTCTAAACATTTAAGTAACTCGAGGTGCGAGCATCTGCAGCTCGCACTTCTCACTCACTTGGGTCAGAGGACGTTTCGACACACCGCCGGGGCATCTCTTCATGGTAGTGTCTGTGTGTCAGAGGCCAGCATCCATCTGCGAATGATTTAAGGGTTACATTTTTGGGGATGACGTGTGATAAAACAGGGAGGTATGGGTCAAAGTGACTAGGCTCGATCTGTGACAGAGCCTCTCCTCCTGGGCCCTTCCACATGTTTTAATCTATACAAGCATCTGTTTGAAGTTCCCAATGAATACCATCAGTCCTGCTGGTGACTTCATATCCATCTTACCTGGCTCAGAACAGTTTGACATCCTTTAGGCACACCGATTAACCACGGGGCTAGAGGTTCTTTTGCTGCAAGGATTTTGCAGTTTTACAGTTATGATACTGTTGTGTACTGGGAAGTTGTGAGCATCTTCTAAAAAGTCAGAATGTGCTCTTCCTGACTGGGTTATTAGGCTATATGAGGTATGATTATAATAATTTGTTTTATTCATTATTGAGGGGAAACTGATCAAACTGATCTTGAATTAATGAGAAGTGAACTAATTGACAGACACAACTTTGCAAAAGTCACATTTCCCAAAGAGTAAGGTGTCAAACTTAACGGATTCCTATTTTCTTTTATAAAGGAGGTGCCCTTCATTGGTTCTCACAAAAATCTTTATGCTATAGAGTTAGTGGCTTGCTGCCTTCATATAAACAGCTAACCTATTAAAAAGGTAAAAGTGTGCATTTGTAGTTCATTTGTAGTATCAAAACTGCGAGACATCTGTCTGTTTCTGATGGCAGGAATGAGCCACCACGAAGTGTTACCTCGACAAAGAATCACTTTTGGCCCTTCAACTTAAATGTGTCCTTAAAATGAGAGGCTGTTCAAGGGAAGCCTACCTCGACCGTAACGAGGCATTCCTGTGTTAAAAAGCTGGCTTCCCATCAGGATGCTCTGCTCCACAAATATACAGTAGGCCGGGAAGGTTTGGAAGAAACTGAAGTGGGAGGGAGGAGGAGAGAAGAGGGGAGTGGTGGTGGTGGTGGGGGGGGAGTGATGGTTGCTTTGATCTTTGGAGGCCCCATCTGGATAAAAAACAAAAAAAAATACAAGTGTCCAAGTCCCCTTTGTCAAAACCCTAAGAAAACATGAGCAACTCAACTAGTCTGAACTAAAAGTGATTCTTAAGAAGGGGTATGTGTGTTTTTGTGGGGATGAGGATGATACTTGGAACAATATACTTTTTTTTGTTGCCTTAAAAAGTAAGTTAAGTAATGATATGATAATAAGTAATGATAATAATCATTTAACCAGATAAAGTCTGTTGAGCTAAATATCGTCGGAACACGAGTTTTGAACATGTTTTGTTTACTTGATTTTCAGGCAAATGTGTAACAAGATGCATATTCTCACTTCATAAATTTGCGGTGGAATGGGAAATGGGCATTTCAAGGCCAATAAAAGCCACCACATCAAATAAAAACTTCGCGGATCAAAAGAACCAAGGCATGGACATTTTTTCCCTCTATAAATTAAAAAGGGAGGTAGTCTGCCACACTTGATCATGCCCTGAGTCCTGCCCCGCTCCTGCTGATTGGCTGGACGGACACACAAGGGGGGAAAGTTTGAATAAAATACAGGAGCATGGCACGAGTGTTGTCGTTCAAGCTTGTGCCTGATCCAGCAGCGCTTGAGTCGTACAAGGCAGATTAGCAGTTGTAGGCGCATTCTTTGAAAGTTTGAAATATACCCAGATAATTTAGCAGATTCCTGTGATTGATCTAAAAGCACTTGTTATTTAGTTGACGTTAAATTTAAGCATTTCTGGGAGCGGATGACAAGTGTTGTGGCGTCTTTCAAACCGTGCGTAATTGTCGCTTCTTTCTCAGCTCCATCGGCCAAACGTTTTCCCGACGAGACGTTGTATTTGGAGGAAGGACATCTAACACGGGGATAAGATGACAGCAATCAGAATGGTTTCATCAGTGCTGGTGCTGGTGCTGATGCAGTCCGGAGCTCTTTGCGCACGGAGGTTCCGCGGTGGCCGCAACCCACAACCACGACGCGCACCACCTGCTCCCACATACCGGGCGGACCGGGGTGACACCACGGAGAGCTTCCCTCTGGATTTCACCGCCGTGGAGGAGAACATGGATAACTTCATGACACAAGTGAAGAACCTGGCACAGTCCCTCTACCCGTGCTCGGCGCAGAAGCTCGACTACGACATGAAACTGAACTTTTTGGAGAATACATCAGTCACCTGCAACGATGGAAGTCCTGCGGGGTATGTACCAACTGAGTATACATATGTACAGTGTGATTAATTAGGATTCCCATCTGATTGGATCGCCAACAGGTCAGAGCAGGGTCAGCTGTGCTGCAGTTGCTTCAGCAGGGCGCACACCCTCCTGCTGGTCATACTGCTGCCCGAAGTAACCCACATGTACAAGACAGAAGTTCTCATTATTTGGGCTGTTTTATTCCAAATGCTCAAAACTGTTGTTTTTCTTGTCCCTAAAACATTAAAATGCTGGGGGGAAAATACAAATATATAAATGAAAAAATAAATGTATAATTTTCAGAAGGAAACACTGTTCTAGGACAGAATAAGGTTCAGTCGGGATAAGATAGACAGCTGCTTTGCGTCAGCGAAGCGTGAAATTTGTGGATAGCCACATGGCCTATGCTTCATTTCCTTTGCTTCAAATTAGAATGCAGGATTTGCACTGCAGAAAGTTTAGATTCAAGTTTTCAAACCCCCGCCCATCTCTCTCTCTCTCTCTCTCTGCCTGTCTCTCTGATGATTGCACCCAGTATGACTAAATTGTGCTTTTACAGCCATTTAACAGAATGTTTGCTCGACTTTGCAACTGCATAACATGTGTAATTTGGTGCCAGTGGCTCCTAGTAGTTTATGGTTTGTTTCTAGGAAAATCACTTTTAGTCTATGGTCCATGAGGTAAGCAATGGGTTTGTTTGCATGGATAGGTATCCACTGTTGACATCATTGTTAAGTAGAAACCCATCTGGCAGTAAGAAAGCCTGCATGATTTCTGTGCTAAAGCAGGATAAGGCATGGAACTAAAAGCATTTCAATTTCAGATATATAATTAATAAACAATGTATGGACTTTAAATATTTAGGCTATATTCCACATGATTGCATGGAGTATATGGGTGTACTGTAGGTTGAACTGAAATAATAAAAATAATAGGGAAAAAAGAGTTATGGGAAGTGGGGTTGAATTAAATAAAAGGAAGCTGTGAAAGGTATAATCTCTCCCTGTCTTTAAGAGGCACAGCCTAAGGAAAGTGGATTTCACCTGTGTCTCAAACTGTCAACATATTATTCTGCATCACAAGAATAAAGTTTTCAAATATTACACACACTGTGCCACAATGAAAGAACAGTTTTTAAATTGGACACCCTTAATTTGCTAGGAATATATTGAACAGCAATAAAAAAGCAACTTGACTACAACCAGTTCAGTGATGGACATGCAGACTTGCCTGGAATGGGTTTTGCTATAGATGTATCTTTATGGATTTACTAGCCTGTCTAATTCCTGTTAAGCCCCAAAGTGGGAGAGAGAGAGCTGTCTTTTAGCGCAGTAAAGCTCTTTAGGGTCGCAGCAGAGCACAGGGGGACAGTTACTGGCAGATGGCCGTTTCATTCACTATTGGGGCTGTTGTCAGTTGAGATGCTAATACATCAGCTACAAACAGTATTTCCCAGAGAGGTGCTGTTACAGTCACAGATAAAGAAGAATGCAGCAAGAAAAATCATTCACTAGAGGGGAAGGTGGAACTGTGTGATTCATCTTCTGGAGTTGCACTTGTTAGAGTGAGTGGTTTGATGCAGCGCCTATCCCTCTTGGCGTATTCAGCTTGCCAAGCCCGCCTTCACTTTGTTGTTTGGAAGTAGTAAGCAGAGTGCACCGTCCTCAGCCTACATCACTGACTGCGGCTCGCAGTAATAGCACAAGACATTAACTGCAGCCAAAGTGTGATTCAGTGTCTGAGCAAACAGCTCAGAGCTTCAGCCAAGTCCGTTTTCTTTAAAAGTCACTGAAATGTTTTTGGCAATCTCTTGAGTTTTAGTCATTAGTCGGGTGGATACTGATTGAAAAAAAACCCCCATCTCTCAGCACCACAGAAGCACATTTTGGAGCATCTTGCTTCTGTGGATAAAGCTACTTTACACACCAGAATCTTTAAATTTGCCTCAAGTGTGATTTATTTTTCTTTGGTATCTATATTAAATTAAAACCCTGTTTGGAAAAAAAGGATGATGATGCATCTCACATGAGCGCCGTCTTGCAGCGTGGGAGAATCATGATAGCATTGCCCTCTTCTGGGCTGACAACATACAGCACACATCTCTTACACTCTTGCGTGCATTTGCTCCTTGTCCAGGGTCTTGGGCATATATGTGAGTCAGACGCAAAAGACAGACTGTGTGTCGACACAGTCAAGTGTCGGGTGGGGTGGAGGGGCTGATTTTATCCATGCTGTGTGTGAGGGCACTGCTGAGGAATGATGAGCTCAGAGTGAAGAGGACATGATGGTACATTACCTACTCTGCATTAAACATGTGGAATACCATCTACTGGCGTCTACCAAACAGCATAGGGGACAAGATGATGTTTATCTCCTGTTTGATCACTAAACCTGTCTCCTAAGTCTAAACTATACATACAATCTCATTGTTCTCTGCTGTGTGCTCACTGAATTTATATTGGCGGAGTTTCATTTTAGCTGTTTTCTGTCACCTTTGACAGACCAGAGAATCAATAAAGTAACAGAAGATCCTTGTTATTGATTAAAGCAATGATGTTGCGTGTGTTTATTTTTCATGCTTGGATACCATCACTGATGGTAGAAACAGTGAGGGTGTTTCTGAAGACAGAATGTCATATCAAAAAAGGTGGAATGTGGCTGTATCTAGCTGTTGTTTAGAGATACTGTAATGCATGCGGTGTAAAAGAACCCTTTAGGAAATATTTTTTGTTATATCTGCATGCAAGTCAAGGATAACTGACACACCTGCTATCATGTGTTGATTTTTTTATTCTTTGGTCTCTTGTAGGTACTACCTGAAAGAATCCCGAGGCAGCAGACGGTGGTTGATATTCCTAGAGGGTCAGTATTAAGCACTGATTTAACTACCTTCATTATGTTTCTCTGTTCATGTCAAAATTAAGAATGAGGAATAAGTGTAAAGAATATGTGTGAGAAATTATCCATGTTGTGTTTTTTGTGTCTTATGTCCAGGTGGCTGGTACTGCTTCAACAAGGAGAACTGTGACAGCCGATACGAGACCATGAGGAGACTGATGAGCTCGTCCAAGTGGCCCCAAACTAAAACAGGTCAGCCTCAGTTAGCCTGTATAGTTCACTAAGCTCACATGACCACCACTCCTGTAACATATCCCTACTCCCTAACGTGGTGAAAAAAGTACCCATATCCAACTGTAAGGTCTCAGTATTTAAAAGGATCGGATGTATCTGTGCTCATCTTCAGTGTTATTGCAACTGATACCCCCTCATAATGTTGCTGCGGCGTAGGGCTACCTGGCGCCCGCTGATGTAGGAAAAGAGACACCTCCCTCTCTCATTGCAGTGTAATAACTGTAATCCATGTAATAATGATGATGAGGAAGAAGAGGATGCGTCTGGGAGTTGCTAATAATACACGTTGATCTCTCTCTGCAGGCACCGGGATCCTGTCTCCACTGCCCGAGGAAAACCCTCACTGGTGGAATGCCAACATGGTGTAAGCTGACATTTTGACTTGTTTTTTTGCATGTTTATTGAGGCTCAATTTTTACTCATAGCTGGCCACTTTAACTTTATGTTTGGCTGTGCAGGTTCATCCCGTATTGCTCCAGCGATGTGTGGAGCGGTGCAACAGCCAAAACAGAGCAGAGTAAGACATAACTGGATCATGTAACATGTAACATCATCACATCTAACATGTAATCCTCTTTAAGGCAAGTGTTATTCTACAGCTCTGCTCTCTTTGTGTTGTGTGTAGATGGCTATGCCTTCATGGGATCGCTGATTATTCAGGAGGTTGTGAAGGACCTGCTGAACAAAGGTTTGGACAACGCCAAAGTTCTCCTATTAGCAGGAAGCAGGTATGTTTGTGTGTGAAAATTTTGCTTGTGAATTCAAATTAAAAAAATCTTCCTGTATAGGTACTGACAAGAATATGTCATATTTCTGTGTGCAGTGCGGGTGGTACAGGGGTCCTTCTGAACGTGGACCATGTGGCAGAATTACTGGAGGGACTGGGGCACACTGGGATACAAGTGCGAGGCCTGTCTGATTCTGGCTGGTTCCTGGACAACAAGCAGTACCACTGCACGGAGTGTGTGGATGCTGTCAGCTGTTCCCCCACTGAGACCATCAAGAGAGGCATCAAGTATGCGAGCCAGTGAATATTATCATAAAATGTCAATAATTTTGTGAGCTGGACTAATGGTATTTTAGCACAGTGGCAAGATCATCAGGTTAATACATCCTGTCCTGCCTGTTCTTTTCCCCTGCCCCATCAGGTACTGGGGAGGAGTGGTACCAGAGAGGTGCAGGCAAACCCATGAAGGAGAGGAGTGGAACTGTTTCTTTGGATATAGAGTCTTCCCTTCAATAAAGAGTGAGTTTAGGGGTCTCATGCATTCCTATCTAAAGTGCACATACTGTACATGCTAATGTTGGTGTGCTCCACCAACATATCTATGCAAGCCCAAAACAGATATTTACTATACTTACAATCTTAATCTTCTCCTTTCATGTCTCTGTATAGGCCCTGTGTTTGTTGTCCAGTGGCTGTTTGATGAGGCCCAGTTGACAGTGGACAACATCCAGCTGACAGGCCAGCCTGTGCAGGAAGGCCAGTGGCGCTACATCCAAAACCTGGGCATTGAGCTTAGGAACACACTCAAAGATGTCCCGTAAGGCCACGTCTCTGCATTTTAGGAAGAGAATTTAAGTAGGATTATTTCATAGCTTCAGACTGACTGATTTCTATTTCTATTTTCAGGGCTATGTTTGCTCCAGCGTGCCTATCACATGAAGTGATCACAAGAAAGTGAGTTCAATACAATTTTCACACCATTTCCAGTGCGTCATTATCAGGGGATCCTCGGCTTTGTGTTTGAGACTTTCTACCTGTGAGCTGACAGCGCCCTCTTGTGTTGTGTTCTAGCTACTGGATTGACGTGCAGGTTAAAGGCACGTCCTTGCCCCGAGCACTGCACTGCTGGGACCGCAGCCTCCACGACAACAGGAACAACAAGGCCCCGCCCAAAGGCTGCCCTGTACATCTGATTGACAGCTGCCCGTGGCCCCACTGCAATCCCACATGCCCCACCATCCGAGACCAGTTCACAGGACAAGAGATGAACGTCATTCAGTTCCTCATGCACATGGGCTTTGATGTGCAGAAGATGGCCCAACAGCAGGGCATGGACCCCAGCAAGCTACTGGGCATGCTCAGTAGTGGCAGCTAAAGGGATACACATGCGCACAGTATCTTCAAGCTAAGCCCAAGCAGGGCTGGCTGGTCTCTCTGGCCAGTCTCCCATGCCTGATACCTCCAAATAACCCATTCCTCACAACTGGTGACAAGTACAGGGGCAACACGCCACCATGACAAGGCACAACTCTCTGCTACTCTCCATTTAAATTATCTTTTGCTTTGTAAAAGAAAAAAATATCACGAATGTAATCCAGTTTTAAGGATGCTCATTGCTGTTTTGTTTTTTTAAATATTATTTTCACCCTTCCATATAGATTATATTTAGTCATTGTTAAAAAAAAGAAAGAAAAGGAAAGTCCACAATGACGTACAGATGCTGACTTTGTCACATAGTCACTATAGAGTATATAATGGTATAATTTTGTTTGGTTATAACATCTCATCACACCCAAAAAAACTACATCAAGGTAGAAACAGGGATAAGGTGAGACAAGCACTGGATCAGGAAGGACATTTTGTATTTATCTCTAAAGCAATGTTAAGAACGATAGGGAGAGGGAACTTACACCAACACACCTCTAATCGGTTCATGGTATTTGACCAGGTTGGATTAACACACTCTTTACATAGTTAGGCCCCAGACAAACAAATGTCAGATGTTATTCCTTGCTAATGGAAAAAAAACACAGACAATCCTCAACACTTCACATTATTGTTTTGATTATCATGGATTAATAAAAAAGACCACTCTAGAGGTAACTCTTTCCTTACAGTGTTGAAATGAAAGTGGCATATTTTCAGCATATTACAACTTTTGATGCCAAGATCCCCAGTTTAGTCGTTTCCTGAAGCGGAATGTGGTGCTAAAGTGGACCTGGAAACACTTTTAAGGTCTATCAGTAGCTATACATACACCACAGTGCCATTACATCTATACCTCTTTCTCCCAGGCCATGACAAGAGGACTGTTCAAACCCGCACATACGGTACACATTCATGTTAAATCACCTCAGTAGTTCATCAATCCTCAGATCAATGCAATGAACATTTAAAGGGAGACAAATATAGTGTATTGTATATTTTTTTGAGTATTTGTATAGGTTCTTTCAAGTGTTCACTAGTGTAACTCCCTTCTTATATTTCATAATAGAGATCACTTTTTAATATAATGACAATGTTGTATGTAATGATGTCTTTATTAATGATGTTTTTAAAGGACCTCTATTTCGCATCACGCCAGAGAAGGAAAACTATTACTAATTGTAATTTTATTCTGTAACATATTTTTTTAACGGAAAACAAGCTACATTGGTAATTTACATATTTATTTTGTTATGTAAATCATATTTATAAGTGCTATTTTCACAGAGAAGTGATTCTTTGTAAATTGTAAATACGGTGCTGTTTTTTCTCTTTCTGTTGATTGCATGTCTTTGTATGAGACGTAAAAGAAAAGACACATTACATATACCACAAGGTAAATATTGCTGTGTGATTATCATTATTATTCATGTTGTTATTATTCATGTCGTTATTATTCATGTTGTTATTATTTGTGTTGTTATTATTTGTGTTAATAGTAGTAATAGTAGAATAGGTATCAGTAGTGTTTGCACAATTTGCATTACCATTTTATACTAACAGCACAAAAACCTTTAGCAGGAGGTAAGGTCAACAGCTCCCTCAGGCTCCCAACATGGCTTGTCACTATTTTGACATATGTGATGATAGACACGAGGCTCAGTGTACACACACTGACAGCCATTTCTCAAGAAATGTGGTCAATCTCTAAAATAGGAAAACATGTCAGAGTAGGCCAAGTGACTTGAGAAATGTTGGCATTTCTTTTTAATTTAAAGTTACCCAAAACTAAGAGGAAAAATCCAGATGAACTGATCATTTCACCATTACCTATCCACACTGCATCGTAGTCTTCTCTTAAATTTTCACTTTCACTTTAAGTTATAACCCTTAGTCAACTGTGTCTTTGTGTTCAGTGCACTCACTGGCTTTTGATGAATGAACCGCAGTTGTTTACCCAACGTGCTTTACAATTTGCCCTTCAATCACCTGCTCACACTTAAGCTCACACATCGGAGCAAGGTACTGGCCTAACCACTGGGAGCAGTCGGGGTTCAGTGTTTTGCTCAAGGACATATTGACATGTGGTCAGGAGGAGCCAGAAATCGAGCCTCTAGCCCTGCGATTAGTGCGCAACCCTTTGTTGAGCCACAGCCATCTTTTCACACCCATATCAATCTCTGATTTTGTTGCAGATCCAAGAATGTCACATTCTTAGTGGTAAAAGCTCATTTAAGGGGGGGAAAAGAGGACTGGAGCACCTTTCATGGTGCAGACAGACTACTTCATGTCACGGTGTCCTCATTAAAGTCAAAATGGACAAAGACATAAGGCCAACACATTATTAGTGAACCTACAACAGTTGTATAATTGACAATGGATAATTGGTTGGAGAGGATTTCAAATCTATTGGACAATGGATCAAAGGATGAGTTGCCACACTATGATCACATCAGAAACAAAGGGACTATATTTAAGTTTTTCAATGAAATTAATCAAATTTTCGTTGCCTTATTGTCAATGGGCTCAAAACTCACTTAGAAATGAAGCACATGCCTGTTATCTCCGTTTTCTCCGTCTGCCACTATTCTGCTTTGAATGTGGGGATTCCAGGTCGGATTCAGCCCTGTGCGTGCTCCCGAGCCTCTCTCGTACTACAGTGACAACACGGCAGCTAACGACATGCAGTCCACTGACACCATAAAACAACCGGCTCACAGCAAAACACAGGCTCCATGTAAGGATGCAAAACAACAATAAAGGTTTGTGCGCTGAAGCCCATCAGACCAAACAGGTTCAGATGATGAAGAGTAAGAACAAAGTGAGAATTAGTAAAGCTGGAGAAACGCAGAGCAGTTGCTAATGTTACCCGGTGCAAAGTTATATCGCTTTCCACATTACTTCACCAGCTAACGCGACCCATGTTACTATCCTGTGTACTACTGCCTACAGTGATGCAGCCAGGAGCAGCCAGCTAATGCTACAGTAGCTCGGACTTGCTGCTGTTTGCTTCATAACATTCAGTTTAGGTTTATTGTGGTTTTACCAATACTCAGTTACACAGCTTCTCCACCTCTCCATGCTGTACCTAACGTGACCCACATAATATACAATACTGCAGCTTCACAGTGACAACAACCCAGAGTAAGAGCCATGCACTAACACTACAGTAAAGTTACTTACTGCGGTCTTATTATTATAAAGTGTGACACAATCTCGTTATAATATTAGGTCCAGCTCACTACCCGTTTCGTTATCATCCAATACATTTAGCTGTGCTGACATTGCTGAGCGTCCGGTGACAGATTCACAGATAGTAAAGATAGTTACAGAAAGCAGAAGGCGAGCTAACGATGTAGCACGTAGGCTAAATGTACAGTGATGATGTAACGAGCATCGATTAGTTCAACCTACAACTGATAAATCTATTACTGTAACGTTGCAGTAGGGGTTTACCAGAGTTTCCATTATATTGTGTGAAGCTGTCTCCCTGCCTATCTATAGCCCCTGTCACTCTGCCTTTTTTCCGGGAGGACTGTGCCGATATGCGGCACAGTCAAGGCTTATACTTTTTAACACCTTTATTTAACTAGAGATTTTGGCGGAGTTCTCATCAAAGAACATATAGACTGTCTGATTGAAACCCTATAAGACAAGAATGCTGTCTAAAGCACTCCCAGTAAGAGTAATTAGTAAGACTAATTAAGATGGATCCGGTCCATTTCCACTAAAATACAACACTAGATGTCACGATCGAGGGTGAGTGCAAAGCAGGTGAGCTAAACAGAACCTGCAAATGAACAATGAAATAAACAAGGCTAAACAGAGAACACAGACAAGGAACAAAACTCCAAAACAGAAAACATGGACCAACTGTTACACAGACCGGCGTAGGGAACAGAGACAGAACTAACCAGGAAACAGGACAACACTCAACAAGGAACAGAATGGAAATAAGGAAAATACCAAAACACTGTTAAACATTATCTGACAGATAATAACTAAATAAATAATAACCCAGACTAAATAACAGATATCAAACTGATCAGTAAGTGAATTCACAGTGAACTATACTGAACAGAACACATGACAGAATTAAAATGTAGATGCAAAACCCAAATCTTAGAACCAAGAACCAAAACCCAGAAAGAGAGAAACCAAAATCAAAACACAGAGAAGGCACGTCCAAAATAATATTACACAGACAAATTCAACAACAGACTAAGATAGCTGAACAAAACAGATAAACACAGAATGATAATAACCAAATGGATAACAAATCAGGCAGAGCTCACAATAAACACTAACAGACTGGACACAGGACAACAGACTGGACTGAACCCAAAAACACAACAGACTAAATAACAGATACTGAACTGATCAAATAAACCCAAACTCAAACTAAACTTAAACATAGCCGACAGGCAGAATGTGACGCTAGAAACATTTCTTATTTCACATATACCGATTTCTTATTCATATATTTTTCACGGTTATTTCCAAAATTCATTGCATGGGATCAAACAAAAAGTGTCCCAAATTCTGACCAGCAGTGTACAATTTTATACCACAAACAACTATTTTAGGTGGTTCCTTTAAGAATCGCCATGCACGCTGTAAATCAAAAATCACAGCAGACTAATATCACAGGTTCAAGTATTTCAAGTAACTACTAATCCATTTCCACTTCCCTCTCAAATGCATCACTCAAATCTGTTACCACTCATGCATAATCATCCCTCTGGACGTGTATGTAATTTTTGTCTCTAATGGGAGTCTTAGCCTCCCTCCCTGTCATTACACTGCGTATAAATGCCAGTTTCTGACAGAGGGAGCTCTGACTCAGCCTCTCTGGGTGCTCCCTAGAAATACGACTCTTGCCACATGTAGCCTCCCACCCCTCTGTGGAATATAGACCCCCTATTTATAGAGCTGGCAAGGCCTGTAACCCTGGGCTCGGCACAAACTTTCATTTAAACAGCCATCCCTAGCAATCCACTGAGGGCACACTGACACACGGGAAGGAGAGGGTGTGTTTGTGTGAGTAAGAAAGAGTGAGAGACCAAATCCAAGAGGCAACAGGAGACAGAAAGAGCAGGACAAAGAGCGAGAGACAGAGCCAACAGTCTGAGTGATTTTGACGGGCAGTTAAGGGCCTACAGTGAAGAAATTACAAGGGCCGAGTCAGTGAGCAATGGATCTTGACTGACGGGACAACAAACTAGTCCACCTGTTCTCCCTGCTGTTAGAAGACTGATCTCTGGACATGAATTTTAAAGGACGTTACTTCACTTTGAACGCTTGATACACTGGACAACAAGGTGACTGAAGAGAGCAAGCAATGGAAGGCAAGATTTGAGTAAGACCAGGATCAAATTGTTAGTCTCTAAAACTATAAAACATTTTTAAAAAACGATAAAGGACTGATACCAGTGTTTTTTTTACAGAAACTTTACTCTATATGGATAGTTGTGCAGCCAAGTAGAGACATTGCTTTAACAACAAACATGAAAATGAAAAGAAAATGAATCTTATTTAAAGCTCCAACTATCCTTTACAATGAAATGCTGCTGTACAAATGTCTACCTAACAGTGTCTAAATGTAACTTGGATGCACATCCCTGTAATTACAAAGCAAATTACAGACATTTGTAATTAAGGACCATCTATAAAAGGCAACCAAAGAAAGGGTGAGGTCTGTGACGATAAAAAAAGAAAAAAGAAAAAAAGAGTGGGCCGCAAGGATACCAGGACAGAGAACAGGACGTCAAGAGTCTCACCAAGAAAAACAGCTGCTTCTGGGGGATAAAACACACCATGGATGCTCATGGAGGACACTACCTCAACAAAGAAGCTGTGCTGTCACCTTTAGGTGCAGCCCGAATGTGCCAGCTGCTGCTTGGTTGCACCATAATGGCCCTTGTGTCCCACAGTGCTGGCTACAGCGCCACCTATGGAACCTTCTGCATGTTTGTGTGGTGCTTCAGCTTTGCTGTCACACTGGTAGTGTTCACCTTGGATATTACGCGGCTCCACACGTGCATGCCAATATCCTGGGATAACTTCACTGTGGCCTTCGCCATGCTGGCAACACTCATGTACATTACCGCCTCTGTGGTCTACCCTGTTTACTTCCTCCAAACAGAGTGCCCTGATGAAGGCTGTGAAGTCCAAATTTACCGCATTGCTGTCACTGTCTGCTCCAGCATCTGCTGCTTCCCCTACGGTGCTGAGGTGTTCCTAACTCGAGCCAAACCAGGAGCTGTGGTGGGCTACATGGCCACTGTGTCCGGCCTACTCAAGGTGGTCCAGGGTTTTTCGGCTTGCATTATTTTCGGGGCCCTGGCCAATGACAGTGAGTACACCAACTACATTGCCACCCAGTACTGTGTGGTGGTGTACAGCCTGTGCTTCTCTGTGACTGTGATAGTGGTCGTACTGACAGTTTCTGGGAGGACCTCTGCCCTGCGGTTCCCCTTTGATCGGTTTGTGGTCGTCTACACCTTCTTCGCTGTGATCCTCTATCTCAGTACTGCACTGATCTGGCCCATCTTCAGCTTTGACCAAAAGTACGGCACCACTACTCGCCCTGAGGACTGCCCACGTGGAGCATGTCCCTGGGACAGTAAGCTGGTGGTGACAGTGTTCACCATTGTCAACCTGATCCTATATTTTGTTGATCTTGTTTACTCCCAGAGAATTCGCTTTGTGTCCAGCTCTGCCGTCTAAAAAAATACTACTCAGAGACAAATACAGAAAGTTTGAGGCCACTTCCACCACAGTCTCTTCAGTCAGATCTCATTCCCTTGGATCCACAGACTCATGGTGTTGTACACATGTGAGAATTTTTTATTATCAGTAATCATCTAGAATTGAGCCTGTAGGCAATAAAACTGACAGCATCACCCCAAGCTACAAACTTAAAAGCCTTTCTCCAGTTCTGATGACCTACCAGGGAGAGCCTGCCAGGTGCGCAGATGAGCTGATCTCAGCAACTATGTCCACAGAGGACCCTGGGAAGCACCAAATACATCCCTCTGCTTCAAATGTCATGCAGGACAGACCTATGGGAGTAAAAGATAATGTTTTGAAACATCAACAACAGTGTTATGTCTGTCAGACTTACAGAGGCTGAACAATTTATTTATGTATTAATGTATGTCTTATGTATTGAAAGGTGATTGATTTTGGCTTTCGAGCCATTTTGCTGTGTTTTCCCCAATTTTTATACATATAATGCTAAAAGTTCAAGATTATTAGGCTTAGTCACTAAGGTTAAACGTTTCTGAAACATGAATTTTTGTAAGAAAATTCAGTAAAAACAGTATTAAAGTATTACATTGATAATTTAGGATAAGCACAATCAGAGTAGTGTAATATTTCTTCTTTTGCTATGTTTCTGACATGTTCCATGTTTAATAAAATATCAAAGAGTATGTCTTGCTGGTCTTTTTGAATTCTGCATCATTTACAGGTATAAAACAGGTCTTAAATGATATGTGAACCTTTTATTCTCAACTTTCAGAAGACAAAGGCCCCTCCAGTGAAGTCATTTCTGTTGGCAAAGGTTCAGATTAAAATTGAAATTGGTACACTTATGTTGATTGTGAAAGATGATGGCATTTGATTCATAGCCTGATTAAATCAAATTAGCATATTTCAATATTTGATAATGCACCCGAGTAATTTATGGTATGTTACCTGTACAGTGTTTGAAAAACACATTTGAAAAACACTGAAAAACCTTTGTCACACTTCCGGGCAACCTTGAGCTTTACAAAACATTTTGTGAAAGTAAGTCTGCAATCAATGTGAAGTGTATTAGGTTGACATAAATTAACAAGATAAAGCAATATAAAACGTTAAATTAGTTGTTCAATGGATACACTGCTATGTTAGTTATCTAGGCTGTTAATTGGTTACATGTTGGCTCAACCTGTCTGTCTCCATTCCTACTAGTCTCTTCAATGCCTTTTAATCTTTTATACCTACCAGCCGGTGTTCTATGATCCCGACGAACTGGGAGAGCCCACCCCAAAGCTATTTGCTAATGCCACTGTGATTGGTCAAACGTGTTACACGTTGACTACACATGCAAGCTCACTAGCTTTCTCGCTTGTCAGTCAAATTTCTCTCCACAGGTAGCCTACAGTAAAGAGAGAGACAGCTGGGGCACGTTGACAGTGTTGTACATTTAGGTAAGTGTATGTGTTTCAGTTCAGCGGCTGCTGTTTTGGTCGGCTAATTTAGAGGCTCTTTAGTTTATTCGTAGGTCTTTTACTCCGTGTTAGATTTACTACACAGCAACATGGCTACCGCCGCCGTGTGCTCAAAAATGTCGTTTGCTTCGCTTAATGAGGAAGTAAGAGTTTGTTTACTACGAAAGCACAACGTTCCCAGAGCTGTAAAGAGGCAACAAGCTGCAAACCCCGAGTTTGACTTAAAATGAATTCACCCCTGCTAAAGTTAATGTTTAGGCTATGTAAAGCAAGTAGCCTGATGTTTCCAACCCTTTTAACTCACACACGCAGGTAGAATGAGTGTGGGTTTCATAGGAGCGGGCCAGCTGGCGCACGCTCTGGTGAGAGGCTTCACGGCTGCAGGTGAGTTTTGACTCACTTGTATGTATAATTCAGGTTTGACTTGTGTTGATGTATGTTGATTGCACACTGAAATGATTTTTGGACATGTTTCCCCTTTAAGGCGTGATTGCCACCCACAGAATCACAGCCAGCTCCCCAGACACAGATCTCCCCACTGTGCAGGCACTGCGGGTGGGTGTATATAAGTAGGGATGGATACCAGTACTGTATTCCATCAGTGATTCTGTTTAATTACAAATATGTTTGTTTTCAATGTCATGCTTGCATCTAACGAATTGCTCTGTAGGCTATACTTCTGCCCAGTGAAGGACTAAAAGATGTCTTTTACAGAAATTGGGTGTGAGTTTGACCACCAGCAACAAAGAGACAGTGAACAAAAGTGATGTTCTCTTCCTGGCTGTGAAGCCACACATCATTCCTTTTGTGCTGGATGAGATTGGACCAGACATTGAAGATCGTCACCTTATTGTGTCCTGTGCTGCAGGAGTCACCATCAGCTCTATAGAGAAGGCAAGTGATAGCCCTCTGTCCTCCCATGTTACTGTCTGAACAGAGAGTACTGACAAAATCAAGCATGTTTTTCCACTCAATACTTAATTCATCGTTAAAGCATTAGTGCATCTACAGTAATTAACCTTGAGGTGTATATAGGTGATCTAGTGTGGCACCAGTAATGTGGGTATGATGCCCAGCAGGGAGATGCAGTCATTGTCACTCATCTACTAAAGTCAAATAACCTGTAGAAAACTGTATCACTCAACTTTGCATCCTCACCAGGAAAATACATTATTTAATCTATAATGTTGCACAATTTTAGGATAATAAATCTCAGATGATTTGTAGTTTTATATGACATGGTAGTTATTAATATTTTACCCTATGTCTCATCTCTAGATGATGGCCAATGCTTGTGAAATTCTGGCTTTATTGTTAATCTTAAAATGAGGCTCTCGCTGTATTTCTGTACGCTGATCTCAGCAGACCAGTCACCAGTTATAACATGATATCGGTTAGCTGCTTGGACCCATGCATTTCCATTTAAGATATGTTGTCTTAAAAATACGACCCCAATTCCAATGAAGTTGGGACGTTGTGTAAAACGTAAATACAATGATTTGCAAATCCTTTTCAACCTATGTTCAAGTGAATGCACCACAAAGACAAGATATTTAATGTTCAAACTTTGTTTTTTGCAAATATTCACTCACTTTGAATTTGATGCCTGCAACATGTTCCAAAAAAGCTGGGACAGGGGCATGTTTACCACTGTGTTACATCACCTTTCCTTTTAACAACACTCTATAAGCGTTTGGGAAGTGAGGACACTAATTGTTGAAGCTTTGTAGGTGGAATTCTTTCCCATTCTTGCTTGATGTACAACTTCAGTTGCTCAACAGTCCGGGTTCTCCGTTGACGTATTTTGCGAGTCATAAATCGGCGCACATTTTCAATGGGAGACATGTCTGGACTGCAGGCAGCCCAGTCTAGTACCCGTACTCTTTTACTATGAAGCCACGCTGTTGTAACACGCGCAGAATGTGGCTTGGCATTGTCTTGCTGAAATAAACAGGGACATCCCTGAAAAAGACGTTGCTGGCAGCATATGTTGCTCCAAAACATGTATGTACCTTTCAGCATTAATGGTGCCTTCACAGATGTGCAAGTTACCCATGCCATGGGCACTAACACACCCCCATGCCATCACAGATGCTGGCTTTTGAACTTTGCGCTGATAACAATCCGGATGGTCCTTTTCCTCTTTGGCCCAGAGGACACGACGTCCATAATTTCCAAAAACAATTTGAAATGTGGACTCGTCAGACCACAGCACACTTTTCCACTTTGCGTCAGTCCATCTCAGATGAGCTCGGGCCCAGAGAAGCCGGTGGCGTTTCTGGGTGTTGTTGATATATGGCTTTCGCTTTGCACAGTAGAGTTTTAACTTGCACTTGTTGACATAACGACGAACTGTGTTAACTGACAATGTTTTTCTGAAGTGTTTCTGAGCCCATGTGGTAATATCCTTTACACATTGATGTCGGTTTTTAATGCAATGCTGCCTGAGGGATCGAAGGTCACGGGCATTCAATGTGGGTTTGCTTACGTGCAGAGATTTCTCCAGATTCTCTGAATCTTTTGATGATATTATGGACCGTAGATGATGAAATCCATAGCAATTGTATGTTGTTCTTAAACTGTTGAGCTATTTGCTCACGCACTTGTTCACAAAGTGGTGAACCTCACCCCATCCTTGCTTGTGAATGACTTAGCCTTTCCAGGATGCTCCTTTTATACCCAATCATGACACTGACCTGCTTCCAATTAACCTGTTTACCTGTGGGATGTTCCAAACAGGTGTTTTTTGAGCATTCCTCAACTTTCCCAGTATTTTGGGTAAGTTTTATGGGGCGGCACGGTGGTGCGGTGGTTAGCACTGTCGCCTCACAGCAAGAAGGTTGTGGGTTCAAACCCCGGTTGCCCTGGCCTTTCTGTGTGGAGTTTGCATGTTCTCGTGTCTGCGTGGGTTCTCCGGCTTCCTCCCACAGATGCAAAAACATGCAGGCTAGGTTGAGTATTCCGATGGATGGAATAAAGTTTTATCAGTTTGAACATTTAAATATCTTGTCTTTGTATTTTATTAAATTGAATATAGGTTGAAAAGGATTTGCAAATGAATGTATTCTGGTTTTATTTACGTTTTACACAATGTCCCAACTTCATTGGAATTGGTTATATTATACGGCAGACAAAAGCAAGTAAAATGTCAACTGTTCTCGTGACTTGCAATATAAACTTTGATCCACAGTAGTTCATTAAAGTAAAAAAAACAAACAGTATAAACAATCTTCTCAGCCCAATTTATCATTTAACAGATTGTTATCTCTTACAGAAGCTGCAACAGTATTGCACTGATCCAAAGGTAATGCGTTGCATGACCAACACTCCAGTGGTGGTGCGAGAGGGGGCCACTGTGTACGCAACAGGCAGTCATGCAAAGGTGGAGGATGGGAAGCTTCTGGAGCAGCTGATGGCCAGTGTAGGATACTGCACTGAGGTGGAAGAGGACCTGATTGATGCTGTCACCGGCCTCAGCGGCAGCGGCCCTGCTTATGTGAGTCTTTTAATATAATGTCGAGTGTGTTTCCCAGTTTTGCCTTGCCTGTTGCAATTGTGAAAACTGTGTATGTGTTGGATTGTTTTCCCTCGTGCCGTCGTCCTAACAATTATGACTGTGGCGTCTTCAGGCGTTTACAGCTGTAGATGCTCTTGCTGATGGTGGAGTGAAAATGGGCCTGCCCAGGAGACTGGCTGTACGCCTTGGAGCCCAAGCTTTGCTGGTATTAGCTTTTATCTTTTTAACACATTTATGTGTTTCATATAAGTGCTTTCTTGGATGTTTTTTTGGTTCCGGTTTCATTGTGTTACTGTACTTTGGTGGTTTTAATTAAGGTTTTCCAAACTTTACTGTGTACTGATGGCTGCTTTGTCTTTGTACATAGGACCCTTATAAAATCCTCACAAGGTGATGCATATGGCAGTGACTCAGTCTTGACTCACTCTGGCACATTTCCATTCAGATGTAAACAGTTTCATGTTCATTGTCCTTGTAAAATCTATAAATTCAGATACAGTTTTGCCAGATGTTAGTTCAAGACACAGTCTGAATATACAATACTTGGATCAGAAATACACGTTGGATATGACATAATCAATACTGTGTTAGTCTAATGTGGATCTACTTTGTGTTTCTTGGAAGGGAGCTGCTCGAATGCTGTTGGACTCAGAGCAACACCCTGGGCAGCTCAAGGACAATGTGTGTTCACCAGGGGGCGCCACCATCCACGCCTTGCATGTCATGGAGAGTGGTGGCTTCCGCAGCCTCCTGATCAACGCTGTAGAGGCCTCATGTGTTAGGACTAGGTAAGTTGACAAGGAAAGTTTGAGGAAAAACAAACCAACAAATCATATTTCCTATCATGGGGATACACAAGGAAATGCTTTTAAGTTAATTGTCTTAATCAAATAGCCAAAGGTTGAAATATTTCTTTTTGAAGTTTGTAATTCAGACAGTAGATGGAGCTGTATGCAAATAATCTTACAATGAGTTTGTCCTTCTCTGGTTACTAATTACCTAGTGATAAGATTAAAAATAAGCTAATATGCTATGTTGTGCTAAATATGTATGTGTCATACTATGTTGTAAATGTCTATGTGTTCTTGCCCTTCTCTAAAAAGGGAACTTCAGTTTTTGGCAGACCAAGAGAAAATCTCCCCAGCTGCCATAAAGAAGACGACTCTGGACAAAGTGTTGCAGCAGCCAGGAGTGACTGCAGAAGGTGTTGGAGTCCGATCTCGTGGGATCAGTATGTTCAACAGTAGTGACTCCAGGACCAAAAAGAAGTGATCCCCCACATTTGGAAATGGCACATTTTAATGTTACCTGTCACATCAATGAAGATGCTGTAAATAAACCACTACTGGCAGATGATTGTTGAAACATAAAATAATCTAGTGGATTATGTTTTAGAAACAAAACAGTTAATTTGGGATGTTACTGTAAAAACTGTTTTAACAGTGCTTAAAGGTTTGACTCCTTTACTGTCATATCAGTTCTCTCAGTCAGTTAGTGGACTAGAATAGTAATTTCAATTTCTGTGGTTGCTATGACTTTCTAAATCTCATTTCTGGTGGTAGGTGGGTTAGGTTAGGTTAAATTAGGATTACTAAATAACAATGCACTTCAGTGGTATGCACTTTGTTGTGAAGCAGTAAACTCTGCACCATGTTCTTCTGGGAGTGGTATGATGGGTTCAACTTGTATTTATGCAGTTTCAATATTATGTTTGGTTTTTTAATATTCTACTACTTAAACTTTTCTTTAAAAAAAATGTGATAAATGCTATATTTTATGATGCAATGAACCTGAGGATCTTTTCAAAACATTTTATTATTAAATATAGAAAACACACTCTGTGGATGTGATTTATTGTGCAATGCGCGTTGGCAAGCAGTACTGTTTTCCCCAGTCCCTCTAACGGGTATTAGCAGCCACAATGTAACAATAGATGGTATATTTTTGGTTAAAATTTGTTGTTGTTTTTTTTCTTGCGAGGAAAGCAGATCCTTCATGAATGGAGGCACGTGACCAAACACGGTGACGTCTGGCTCCGATACAAGAGAAAGGAGTCAACAAGGAGAGCACGAGCTGGCATTTGGAAACGCTGTCGCTTCTGTCAGTGAAACTGAAATTTAACTGTACCTCTGATGTTTGGTCACCTTCGTGACGGTTTAAGAAGAGCACCTTGACAGCAGCAACTTCAGAGAGCGTCATTCTTTTTAGTCAGGTGGGTCTGTAAACCAAACAGAGTCGGTGTTGTTATGCTGAGTGTGCATGCCGTCGCCTCGCCACTGACAAGCTGGCTGCGGCTAGCTTCACGGGCTAGCATACATAGCTTCTTGCATCTATCCTCGTCAAGTTAGCCCGCTTTAAGCCAGAATTGGGATTTTAAGCTAAGAGTTCCCGCATTGCTGAAGCGCTGGTAATAAGTTTATTTTGAAAGCACATACCGGAAATGCTTGTGTGGTGGTCGGGAACTGACTATAGCCGGGCTTCTACTATGCTGAGATGGCAGCTAATCTTTTGTACACACTCCTGAGCGGCGAGTAAAAACATGTCATTCAGATTTTGGGGTTGATGTCGCGCGACAGCCAGCTAGCCCGTCGCTTTCCGTTGTAAACAGTGATTTCCCCAGTTGAGGAATCGCTCGCGGTGCCATAATGCTACGGTTATAGTAGGAAGGCTGAGCACGGGGATTTCCTCGCTTGCTTGTTTTGTAGGCGGGGGAGTTGTTTGTCACTATCGCAAGCAGGCGTTGAGAGGCTGCAGATCGAGTCGCGGAATGTCAAAAACTGTAACTAGGCTGCTTTTTTTTGATAAATAGTTTGCCAAAGCGTCGCGTGTCCAGCTGTATCGCAGCGCTTCTTTGCTGGTTTGTCAACTCATGCGCTTCTCGCTGTTCAAACCTGCTGCTTCATCACCTCGTTGTGAAAAGGAGCAGGAGCAAGCCGAGGCAGCGGTATAGCGAGATCAGGTTGGTTTGCAATATTTTCTCATGACATTCCTGACATAATAATGAACGTGATTGTTAAATCTGATCAGTGCGTTGGCTTTAATCGCATGCATGCGTTATTATTATTATTTTAAATCTTTTAGGAAATGCTTGTAAAACCATCGTTTCGCGATGAATTGGTTCACCTGAAGTGACAATTCATTTAACCACTGGTTAAATTGTAACAAAGGCAATGCCAAACCGAGCCTGCCGTCTTTGGCTTTAATATCACAACCAACCACAGTATTGTTTTATTATCAGAGCCAACAAACAAGCGGCTGTATTTTTATCGTGCTGAATCATCACAATGATGTATTTAGACGTTCTCAGAATCCACCCCGAAACATGGCACCACCGGACAAAGGTCTGCTCAGTGGATAAGGGTCGATGTTTATCACCGAGCCGCCGTTATTAGGGAGATGGCTCAAAAATGGTGCTGATCTGTCGTGCAAGTCAGTCATCAAGCCCTGAGCATCAAGTGATGACCATCATGCATTTATCAATAGCCTCATCTACATTCAGCTGAGAATGTACATTTTATTGCAGCGCTGTCAAGATGTGTGCATCAAGAGACGGCGGTGTTGAGTACATTTACACTAAGTGCTCAAGTGTCAACTGCGATGTCAAATCCATTTAAAAATGCATGATAAGCAATATATTATGCCTGTGTTGTTATAATGGAGTCCTGCAACGAGTGGCTGTTTAAATTGGGTCATGTGTAATTATGGGATGTATGGGAAGTTGAAAACAACATCCAATTTAGGTGGTATTTAAATTAAAATGCTGTTGCAGGGAATAGGTATTTTGGATGTGTGGTGTGCTGTAAATGCCTTTTTATTTTTGTTATTGAATAGTAGCTAAATGCTATATATTACCTGCGTTCTTGTGGCATATTTAATGCAGTATAGCACTTTGTTGCTTTTATTTTTTGCTTGGCAGATGCTCTTGTTTGCCTGTGTGTGTGTGTGTGTGTGACATGATGAAATTTGCTGCCTATTAGAGTACACGCTTATGGAGGGCAGGTAATGAATTATCCATGGAGAATCTCTGTGAAATTTGAAAAGTCACCTTGGAAACTGTTGAGCATATATAGGCAGGGCTAAACAGATAGAAGTTGCCCGTTCTTGCTCAGATATCCAACTTATTTCATCATCTCTGTTCATGCGAGCAGGGCATTGAAGTGTGTTTAGCAGACAGGCCAGCTCTATCAGAAGCTCGGCTTTGCAATAAAGCGTAATGCCCATCTCTGCCTCTTCTCTGCAGGTAACAAGAACAGATGAGGGCCCATGTAAGAGCCCGATGGGGCTGGCAGTGGTGTGTGGATGGAGGCAGGGAGTGATGGAGATCAGCTCTGAGATTTATCGCCTCTTGCATTGAGGTAGCGAAGATAAAATAAGGCTGGATACCACAGAGGTGAACCGAGTGCACAGCTCATACCCAGTGGCGTTGCTCAGAATGGGCAGGCGGTGGAGGGTAGAAGAGGATATTTGAGGTTGATGAAACACGAGGCAAGACTTTACACAGCGCAGAGTACAGTCTGGCCACCAACACCTCTGTATGGCCAACACAGCTGTGCCTTGGGAGTAGTTGCGCCTATTCAGGACAATTAATAGCCTGCAGAAAGGAACACAAATGTGGGATTTGTCCACAAAAGTGCTGCTTAAGCTGCACAGGGAAATGGGAATGCCTGGAAGGAAGGGAGGAAAAGATCAATATAACCCCCCCCACACACACACACACACACACACGTTTTTGCAATACGGAGGGAATGCTGGTGATGAAACCTCTTGCAAGTGTAGCGTGGATTATGATTGCTTAGCATTGCGATATGCCCTCTCCACTTCTCAAAGTAATGCTTTCATCCAGACAGAGTAGCAAGTGTGTTTGATGAATTTCTGTTTGGAACTTGAGTTCGACTTGGCATGTTCATTACTGCTCTCTGTGTGTTCATAATTTAGATTAGCTAATATCGGACAGAACATGGAGAGCAGAAGCATAGAGCCGTGCACTGGCTGCCGTTTTTCATGTAACCTACTTTTATCTCGGCTGATTAGTGTTTTGAGACATCAGTGGTGAACTGACATTAAAAACAAGCGATTTAAACTGTACCCATACTTGTGTAAGTCAAAATGAAGCTAGTAGAGGAACACAGGGAAAGAAATCAACAGTTTCCAAGCATTTTTGAGAGTTTCAGAAGACAAAATTAGACCGTTCTCCCCATGTTCTGATGTGTTCTGGGTTGGATATGTATAACATTTTCTAAGGAGGTTAAAGATAGTGAGACCTTGTTCTAAGAGAAGCAGTGTATAACCCACATTAGAAAAGAGCTCAGGCAGATCATTAAAATGCCATTAGTACTATCTGTAATGGTTCTTGACTGATTCTTTGTAAATGACTGTGGGTTTCCCAAATAAATGCCTACTATATTTCTATTCTACCTGATTAAATTATGCTGTACATGTGGGGGGATCCAGCATTCGTATGTTTTTTACTGACACCATGGGACAAAAATGACAATCATCTAATTTTATAAACGCATAATGTATTTAATTATAAAAAAACAAAATCAAAGTGACAAAAATAAAATCAATAAGAAGGGCAATCTCTATTGTTGAATACAACATGTAGTTATTTATTTGACATTTATTCAGTTATTTAGCTACAGCTCCTGTGGCACAAAGAGTGAGCATGTTGGGGTTCAGTTTTCTTGCGCCAGACATAATATTCCAGCTCGTCTATGGGTAGACACTGGGTGCTGTGGGGATCAAACTCGTGACCTTGCTCTTACAACATAATGTTTTTAACCATTAGGCCATTTTGCTGTCTTTTTTTCCGCTCTTCCACATTCTTTGATATGTGAGTACCTTCATGATTTGTTCCAGTATTCTGAGCTTTACTTCAGGCTAAAATATATGCGAGAAACCAAGAGGAGGGTTACATTGAGAACTTCCCAGATTGCAGCGATCAGCTGAGGAAAACTTGAGTTAACATTCTTGATACTGAACACATGGTCATTACTTCAGACTGTATTGTGGAGTGACGCGACTGCGATGTGTTTTATTCTCGTGTGAGGCTCCATCAGATGTCCTGTAGGCAGACATCATCAATCACTTGGCATAATTTGAACTGAGCGGTGGCAGTGTTTATTAATAGGAATTAGCATCTCTGTTACTCTCAGGTAATAACTCTGACTAACTGACTGTATTTGAATCAAAGCACTCCACAGGAAAGAAAAACAAGTTGATACATTTGTTTTCATTTTTTTTTTTTATTTATTCAGTGATGCTGCTGAGCTCGGTTTGTTTGATGGCGTTATCACAGTGTGGTGTTTCAATTGAAGAGAATCCACCTCAAACCATAGCTGTGCAGTGATACCACTCAAAGACATGAATTATTTCCCTATTGTTTTACTTTAAATAGCATTAAAATGTTCCCCTTTAGTCTTTTATTCTGCACATGCTCTGTAGTAGCTGTTAGGTCAATGCAATATGCATTTTATATGTATGCAACGAGTGTGGTAAAGCTCCTGGATATTTTGCCAGTGTGTGGGTTGCCTGCAACCCTTACTTCCTCTGCCAGCACAAGGCCGAAGTATCAAGAGCTATTCTCTTCCTGTTTAATCAAGTCCTCCAGGCAGATACTGTGGAAGGCCAATGAAGTCTCTTCTACTGTCATACTGCTTCTACTAACAGAAGCGCTCAGAGAGTAAACAGCAGCAACCGAGCTTGGAAATAGATTCTGTATGTATCGAAACACTAGTTAATGCAAACCAGTCTAACCCGAGTACCTTTAAATAAGCTTCAAATTATCACTGAAAACCCCTTGAGGGTGGTGATTCATGTTTTCACTTTCACTAAACCACATGAACTGGATGCAAATTCCAGACGTAAATGCACCACATGCTCTTCTCCATGGTATGACCTGCTATGTTCCATATGAGACTGTTTCAAAGCCAGCGTTTATTGTAGTACATTATGTTATGGTGTTATGTTATCTATTATTACATTGTGACAAATAATCAGTATTCAGGCATGTATATAACCTATGTAGAAAAATATTTGAATATTGGGGAACTACAAAAAAGTTACAGAATATCTACAGAAGAAAAATACTTTATACCTTTGCTATTGATAGTAAATAGAGCAATATTGACAAATTCTGACAAGCATTAAAAACAGAATTACTACAAATTCTACTGCACAATTATTAGCCTAAAACCATTTGTCTTAATCCTGAAAGGTGAGTCTATGAGTGAAGCATTTTTGTGCGTAAGAATTGAGACTACTCTTCAGCTATCAAATTCATACTCCCAAAAACTAGGGGGCAGCATATCATGGCAGGAGATGCGCTCTATCCGTCATTAGCTAGTTTCCTCAGTTAGCCATGTGCAGCTAACTTAGCGGACCTATTAGCCAGGCGAGTGTTTTCACATCTAACTAATCTGAGCTCCTACTACAAAACAAATATTAAAAAAGGTGAGGGTTGTCAGTTGTGCTGTCATTTTATATTATTATTTCATATTGGACTTAGAGCTGGGCAATAAAACCATAATGATAATTATTGCAATTTAATTTTCCATAATAACAATATGACAAATTTTTCAACATATGGTTGATTTAATTCATTTGAATTACGAACAAATCGGGACTTTTTCTTCTTTTTCTGTGGAAGTTTTTTTTAAGTTTTTTTTTTTTTTTGAGGAAAAGCTACTGAAAAAAGATTTTACATCATTTTACTCATGCATTTTTGGTGAAAAATAGATTTTTATCATAATTGTTTTGAATGTTCTACCTTAGATTTGTTATGTGGTCCAAAGTAGTTCAAAACCAAAATTAATTATCTGTCTATCTTTTTTCAATCTATCACTCAGGAACAATAATCAACCTTTAAACTTGAAAGAAATAATGATTTGACATTTATCATGACAATTATCAATATAAAATTATTAATTTTTTTTTATAGTGATAATATTTTTGGCCATA